ATCTAACCGAATAAAAAGCAGCAGTTTTAAAAACTTTATTTTAATTTCCTCCAGTAAAGGTGTTTTTTTTTAATTCCAAACTTATAAATCTTGCACAAGGCACCCTTCATTTTCAATGTGCTTTTCTTACGAAGGAGGCTTCACATTTTCCTGTACCACTATTTAAACAAAACCAAAAACCAAAAAAAAAACCAAACAAACAAAAAAAAAACAACCAAAACCAAAACAAAAAACCAGGTTCTACAACAGGTGGGATAGGCATACTGGGAGAGAAACATGCCGCCGACAAGTTGGGTCATAAGGTGGATTCCCTTGAAGACAACACTCCGGACAAGTTTATATTATGATAGCCTCACTGACTCCTTAGTGACATTATGCGTTCATGTATGTTGGACATTGTGCAGTTGTTTGAGACAACAATCGTTCTCATAGTTCTCGCTGTCTAATTTGACCATATATTACTGACTTGCTGTCATGCGCTTCAGACGACCAGGTTCAAAATTTGCTGAATTGGCACAACCCAAACGGGACAACCAGAACTGTTTGCTTTTCATTTTCTGCAACAAAATTAGGCCATTTCATCTACTTTGATTTACTAAACTAAATTGAAACTGCAGCAGCAGAAACGCACGTACTGTATAATGCGCCTCATGGACATTAAAACAGAATTACAGAAGTGTATACAAAACAAGCAGTTATTTAAAACCCATCCCAGTGAGTGGAAAGGAGATTTTGTAAGCAGCAACTCTACAAGGCCACCCTGCCTCAAGACTACCCGCCTCAAAAACGAGAACAAGAGAGGAAGAGAGCAACTGCACTAAGGCGGGAAAACAACGACCAATTATAATCAACGATGGTGACCAACACGACACCCAAGTCCACACATCATCTGCATCCTAGATGTATCTTTTTCCTCTGTAAAATACAAAAACGACTGTGTAGCAGTGAAGTGTCCGACCCAAGTGTCAAACAGAGCTACCCTCAAATGGGGACTGCATTTCGCTAAAAAAATGAAATGATTTGTGAGATTCATTTTCACAACGAGAAACAGATAGCATAAACAAACTAGAGCGGCCAATGATGGCACTGAAAATAACATGACTTCAATTTACAAATCATCATTTTTACAAACAGCCTCATATTTTATTCGAATGGCATGTTGAACGCCATCTTCCGAACCAAACTTGGAAGTGTGTGGAATTGATGCAACATCAAGCACCTTTAGCTTAAAACCAAAATGCGATTAGATGATTTGTGTCAGTTTAAATGGGCATTTTTGATATTTCGCCTGTGGCAAAAACCGCAGGCCGCTATGACCATTTTTGTTTGACATGTTACGGCTGGAATGCTGTATGTGTCGATGCCTGTTGTTCATGTATGCTGGTGCTTGCTGGCTAGTTAGTGACATGGATAATTCGCGTGAAGGCGATTTGCCCTCATAAGATCAGCTAGAGTTTCGTGGACTGAAGAAACGCAGCACATGCATCTGACAAACCAGGGCGATATATCTGGACATAGCGTCACACCAACCATAGATTGATCTCGTTCCGATCCCGTACGTTCGTGATCGACGTAAATGAAAACAAAGTCTTTTGCTATAGATAACATTGAATCAAATACCAGTTCCGGAAATAAGAAAACAGCATTTCGATGGATAGTTGTATGAGTCTTTTGACGCGTTGTGAAACCACTGTAAAGCTGAATTTTTGATAAATGGGGCTACCTTGTAATAGGAGGTTGTTTTGACGTCTGCCCGGATAGCTCTGTTTTGGATCATCTCTTGTTATAAGGAATGATCTCTCATGAAAAACATAAGGACAAAACACTTGGTTTTTTTTTTCATTTCACTTTATACATCGAACCGAGAGCAATCGGCAGGTATATGCTGACTATCATTGTTTTTCTTCCTGTAACGTAAAAACAACATTCGAGCCTTAACCACAGAATCATTTTGTCGTTCATTTATTAAAGTTTCAAAGCGTATCTCGACGTCGAGTTTTCTAAAGGGCGCCGTCCGAGCCTGCTTGTATCGAACGGGAAAAGACTCCACATTCCCGCATGAGAAACAAACTTGTTTACAGTAATTTTTTTGAAACCACTCAAATTTCATCTTTCCCGACTATTGGCAAAGGCCAAGTAAATGTTCTTGTGTGAAAATGTTTCCTGTTTGTTTTTTTCTCCCATACGCATAAAAATCAAGCATGGGCTTATCTAGATACCAATGAAAGCTACATCCCTCACCTTAAAAGAAGTACATGAATGCAAACATATATAAACGTTAAGTGACTTCAACCAACCGGATCTGAATTTTGAAGAAAACAGCCTACAATTTTGAACAACCTGGTAAAACTTGATGAATCCACGAGCTTGTTTTCATTAAGCTTGTTTTCATCAAACGTTAAGTGACTTCAACCAACCGGATCTGAATTTTGAAGAAAAACAGCCTACAATTTTGAACAACCTGGTAAAACTTGATGAATCCACGAGCTTGTTTTCATTGGGCTTTGCGCCATTTAGCCGAACCATCATTTCGATATTTGCTATTTACTCCACTGGCGAACTTTTGGTGAACGTGAATTTGACGCCCGTTAATAGTAAAGTCGGCTACCATTATTGTAAAATATTGTTTAACATATTATTTTAAATTAATCCAGAGTGATTTTTTTCTCGGACTCAAAGCAGGCATACAGGTGTCAGCTCTTGCTGTTTTCAGCAAATTATAACATCAAGCTGTAACTTTTGAGAAAACATCAATATCAACTTTAATTGCTGAACAAACATGGAAATAAAACAAGCATCTTGGCATCTGTACAGAATATGTCTACTGATAAATCCCAACTTGTTAAGATTTGTCAAATAGTAGAAATACATGTTGCTCTATTATTACGGACGACTACCGACTCCTGTGGGACCTCTGGAGAACTGAAGGGCCAATTTCACAGAGCTGCTTAAGCACAAAATTTGCTTAAGCAGGAAAAAACTTTGCTTAATAAACAAAGGTCACCAGCTAAAACTCTATCTGATTGTCATGCTAACCAAAAAACAGCTAAATACAATCCCAAAACAATATACATCACAAGGAGTTTTGGCTGGTTACCTGATTTATCAAGCAATGTTTTCTTGCGCTGAAGCAAATTTTGTGCTTAAGCAGCTCTATGAAATTGGCCCCACATATTTGTGTGTTAAAATCTATCATTCAATTATGTCACGCTAAGAATCTACCGCACCCTTATCCCCCCCTTCCCAAAGTTTAGTTTCTGAATAATTTTCCTGCTGCGTATAGGTACGTGGTAATGTGTCACCGAAGCAGGCCAACCGCTGTAAATAAATCACCAAACCTTGCCACATTTTGTGCTTTATATTTTGTTGTGGAACGGAGAAAAAATTCGAAAGATTTTAATTGGTTCCTCTTTCCAGTGAGACTTTCGAAGAATCTCGAAGAATGTACGATATTGACCAAGTAATTGTCCCGAAAGGAATGATTTTTGATGTTTAAATTCCCTCAGAACAGCTTATAAAATTAAAATTTTGCCTCTTGTGCTCTTCAAGCAGATAATGTAAGATGAGACCAATAGCCTGCATTCCACCTCGTCTGACGAAGTCCATACAGTGGTATAGCAAAGAGTACATTCAACAAATCTGACTTACAAAAATGGAGGATTATCGGTGTACTTCTTCCAAACATGCCTGTTTGTAGTAAGTTTTCTTTCTTCGAATAGTAGGAAACTGATTCAAAAATGCTTCCCGAAGGAAGAAGCGTATTGCATTGCACGACAGGATGTAATATCTTCATGTCGGCACAGATAAGGAAAGCGAATTCCTTTTTTTCCTTTGAAAGAAGAATGTCCCCGTTATGTTCTACATCTAGTAAAAGGATTTGAATAGATTTTGGGGAGCAAGGGAAACCACTGCATATTTTAGGTTCGTTAGTATAGGCATAGATTACGTCATACTGTCGTCATCAGTCCCCCCGGGAAATAAAATGAGTCTTTTGTTTTGGTAGTTTGCCACGTCTGCGCCAGACGTTACAGACCTAGTGATCAATTCCTTTTTATTCCTTTTCGGAACAAATTATTTTTTAATAAAATTACATAACCGGAAAAATCGGTCAACATATCATCATTTGTTCCAAATTAAGAATTCTACTTTTGATGTGTCATTATCTAGTTAATATAAACTGCGCTTTATAACACAAAAATAAAAAAATCTTTAATATATCATCAGAATTTGGGATGTTAAGAATGCTCCCGTAAGCCTGAGTGACGCCTCATCATAAAACCTTTTTTTTGTGGTGTCGAAATGATCAGAATTGACCCTGGGTTGTTGACATGAAGACGCTGTTTGTTGACTTGCATTATTACGGTTCAAAGATTCATCTATGTTTTCGTGTTATCGCGATTGTCGCGACAGCAATCAATTTGGGGATATAGTTGGACGAATGTGCTACCAGGCATCGTAGGTTTAAATTCTTGTAATGAACATCGAACGCCAAAGTGTTGATAAAACAAGGCCACACGCTTCAGGCGGAAATACAAATGTAGGGAGTTGCAGAATACATTTTCGAATCCGCAAAATTTGACAAAAGGGACATGTCTGTGCTATCAGCTGACGAAAGACAGGTTGCGACGAATGTGCATGGGATATAAGTTTACCTTATCCTCATCACACTTCTAATACCGAGCCGGTTCGAAACGCAGCGGCCAAAACGTAACGCAGACAAGAAACACGTATTTGTGAGGTGTCGTGATCGCTCGCTCGGCTTGTGAGAGATTGATTGTGAGCTGCCGTCCCGTGGTTCATAAACATTCTATCTTGGTGTTTTGTTGCATGGAGTGAAGTAGGGAAGGGGGTCCTGTGGGGGGCTGGAATTCCCAATTTCGATGGCTGAGTTTGTGTAAAATGTTAGTGGCCTATCTAAAACTCCACAGCCAATTATAATACACTCATCAATGACCAAACCAAGAAAGAATGAAGACTAAATGTCACTAATTAAACTGAAGTCCAATAAAAATTTAATGCGCTACAAGCTAGTTTCCCACTGAAATGGTTGCCCATGCACTCTTCGATATGCATTTACATGTTGACTTTAATGGAGGACAGATCATGAATCAATTAAGAATAAAAAATTGTAACATCAAAAATTACACCAGAAAACATGACAGATTAATACATAACCTTCAATGGCTATGATATATAAACGATAGACGGCGGCAAGCAAAACGTACGACTGCTTCTCGAGACAGAATAATGTTATCTCATTTATGCAATGTGGACATTTGAAAGTATTTGAATGTCCATTTATTTTTGTCTAAAAGACCTGCAACAAATAAGCCCGGAGGTTTCAAACGTATGTGGAATCTTTTTACAGTGAAGTAAGAGACTTAAAATTCTTAACGGACGCCACAAACAACTTTCAGGTCAAATTCTACAGGAGTTCTCCAAAAGAAAATAATAATAATAAAATAAAATAAAATGAAATAAAATAAGATAATTCCTCTGATAAGTTTAGAATAACAACATGCAGCAACCGGTATTTCAAACACTTAGTATCGTTTTCCATTCTACACGTCAATCAATTAAAGAGCTACATACAATAATAGTAGTTAATGTTTGAGCAGTGCAATGCCCTCATTACAATCTCAATTTTGAAGCTAAATTGCAAACTGCGCAGGAAGACAAACAACCAAAAAATGATCATAAAAATGAGTCCAATGAATACTTTTCTTTGTCTGGTATGCTGTCAGTATGACTGAACGTTTTCCCTCACAATGGTTTGCTGTATACCGCTGCTAGGTCATGCAGAACCACGGAGCAACAAGCGGAAAGCGCATGCGAAAGTTCGAAGTCGAGATTACATAAGACATAAGACATAATGGGTGCTGTTGTTTGCCTTTATTTGGATTGTATGATATACTAGGGTCAAGGTATTTGGACAAGCAAAAAGGGTTGATCATATCAGAGATCACGATATGACACCCAAGAGCCATTATTCTTGAGCTAGTAATTTGCATACAATATTCTCAGCCCCGCAAGAATAATATGAGATCAAGGCCTACTCATATAGGAAAATAAAAATTTAATTCCAGTGAGACAATTTTTTTTTCACTTTCATCACTCCAGAATTTCCAGATCAGATGCATTTGTGATTATTTTTCTTAGAATGCGCTTGTACACTTAATGCTTCTTGTCCTTTCTGGAGGATTACAGCAAGAAATACTCTTTCAAATTTTTTTTGGGTCACTTCAACATTTGAGTTCTGTTGTGTGGCAGTTTTTCAAATACGTATTTTCTGAGATTTAGCTCTACTCAATTTTGACAGTGGCCAAGTATTTCTGCTTTTCCTGTTTCGGCTAAATCTTGAACGGTATCCCGGGCTGGACTCTACAATTTTAAAAATAGGGGTGTGTACCTTTGAACATGGGGTTGGTGACGCTGCAGCCGTACCATATGCAAATGTGGTTGTCCCAACATAAAGGAAAGTTAAACAAATAGGCGTTTTGATTGAAGCATCCACGTCCATAAACTTACCACAGGTGCACAGGGTCGGGAGAAATCAATTCCCTGTGTTCTGGTAACTGGTGTCGTCCCTGGTTTAAAAGGTCCTACCGTTCAGTTAAAATATAGTGAGAATTTACCATGCAATACCGTGATGCTCGAGCGTGACTGGCCAATCAAGATTAGCCAAAGCATGGAGGACTGTATATACCAAATGGATTAACTACGGTTGCACGTTGGGGTAAGTCGGTAAGTTGTGACTATCTCTTTGCTTGGAGGGTAAAACAGCCATGAGTAGCCCACAGAGGCCGGGGCTTGCGGCGCCTCTCCACCCGGCGCATCTACCGCACTACCTGGTCCACGATCACCGGTCTCCGCTCGGCCAGGACTGGCAGACAACATCGCACTGGTAGGTTGCCGTTTCGTGTCCATTTTTGTTCTCATCCTCGGGCCACGACATCGAGGAAATTCTGCCCGTTTCACCAGCACCTGTTGCTCAAAATAAGCCGTAACGAGGCCTGTGCTGTGTTGAATTGTGTGTTTTTTCCTCCTTGACTCCTGCGATCTGTGGTGAGATCTTCGCTCCCAGACGCTCGCCACTTGAATGTGCCGGTTTCTCCTGGTGACGTGCAGGTCGTGCGTTGCTTGGAGAAGCCACCTCTAGACTGGCTAGACACGCGGCTAGCTATCTCAGCCCAGACACGCTGCCGTCTGCTCGAACCCTTGCCAGCTACCCCGATGGGTTGCTTCGTACGTGACCGGTCGTACTATCGCCATCATCAAACTATTCGATTGCAACGCACGTCTGCTGCAGCGATTCAAGCTACCTGCTATCGTGGGCTTCCAGCTGCCGTTATTCGGTTGTCGAGCGCCCCATTCACAGCCTTCACACGTTCGCTTGGTAACTCGTCTGATCGCTGTCTCTTACGTGTATTTTTATACATCATCCAGTCGGCGGTGATTGCCTCTGAAGTCGTCACTAGTATCTTATTTTGACTACAAATAAAGCAAACAACGAGTCAGTCATATGCCTGTCATAATGTCTATTGATGTAGAGTGGACGCAACACCTCATGGCAATCGCTCGATTGCCTCACGTACTATTGTGCCTGTCGGCCGGATCGGCAAAGCCTACGTGCTTAAAATACCCGCGTAATACGGAGACACATGCATGGCCTTCGCATCCCACGAGCCGCAAGTAGACAAGCGTGGTATTAATTCACTTCGACCGCGGTTCGTCAGGCTGATCCGAGCGGTTCATTTTCAGCATTGCAACCCTGATCTCAATCAAGGTGTGATTTTCGAGTATTTAATCACATTTTGGTGGATGCCGTTCCGATGACAGGGTCGGCGGGCGGGCGGTTGTTGAAACGGCGGCTGTACAATCCATTGCACCCGGTGGCATGAAAGCAGCCCGCAGAGCTGCGGCAGTTCACTCGAGCTTCGTGCCGCAGTTGCTATTGAAATGACTGCGAATGAAATCTTCGGTTATACAGCACCAGGAAACAATTCAAGTTAAAGTAAAAGACTGAAGAAAACGAAAACACATACACATAAAACAGTGCTTATACAGTGAAGTGCTTTATTTATTTGACAGTGTAAATGTATCAACTCGGAAATTTATTTCCGGATTCCCTGAGGGTATTATTTCAGTCCGAAAACAAAACGGCTGTCCTTATAAACGAATGAAAGAATTTCGAACTTGAAAACTACAAGCACTATGGTTGGGGACTAAAGCTGAAATTCGGCTGCAGAACGTATATGGTTTGCAAAGCTCGGTTAATGACAACTGGGCACTTCGTAAAGACATTTATTGCTATCATCAATACTTCTGAACATTCGGCTGTTTTCTGTTGTAGATTTCGCATGTCATACACAAAAAATCTAATACGATCAGCCAATTATTTAAATGAATTTGACGCCACTGAGATAGGGCCTGCTTAGGTTCTAACTGAGCCATGCCTGGGTCGTTCCGACAGATGTGGGTGTTACAATAAGAACTCAAAACTGAATGAACCTACAATGCCGAATGAGCTAAGTATAACCTTTAAAGTAAAAAGTACCCTTTGCCATGTCACTTTTCAATGCAACCATCACCGATTATTTAAATATTGAAAAACGACTAATTTTGTCATGTATTCTCAGCAAGTGTTTTATAAGGAAGAATGTTAATTTTTCTTTTAACCTAAAGAGGGGACTACAAACTATAGCCTATTATTTACACCACACCTGGCAACATGGCTAATGTTTGCATTTTGTGTTATCAGGATCATTAATGTGGATTTGGTGGGGCAAGTCACGTGGATCCTAAACTAACACTGTTCCACTCAGAAGTTAATGGATGCTCCGATTAAGCTGAGAGTTAATGTTTGCCTGAAATTGAGACCGAAGTTGTAGGCTGAAGGAGGGACGGGACCCAACCACGAAGTTGCGCGCAGGCACGCGACCACAGAATTTGAAAATGATACAATGTTTTGTGAGTCCAGTGTGCAAATTAAACCGCGGCGTGCAAATATTTTGGCTAACCTCAATTGAAAACAAATATAAAATTATTAATTCATTTTTCATTTGTCAATATTTTCATGATATTATAGTTATATGTTTTCTCTCCAGAAGGTATAATTAAGTTACACCTCCCTGAACAATTGGTCATATATAGTTTCACTTAAATATAATCTCTTCAATTGGTCATGTGGTTACGATGGTTCACCAGAAAACTGTCCAGGACTCATGTCTTCATCTACATTGTGTACTACTGAATTTAAACATTTTCTCCATATTCCCTGTAAATGAGTTTCTTTCTCCATGCGTGCATCGACTTTCAAGGGGGGCCTAACGGGATTGTGGAATTTTCAGTGTCATGTATCATAATACAGTCTTTGCACACCAGTGCTTCACTATCTGCAAATGAAACAAACGTGACAGGACCAAAACTTAACTCTCTAAATTGAAGGCATGTCAAAGGTCAGTATTCTCTGACACCATTGTGTGAAGATGCTTAACTAAGTGAAAATTAAGTTTACGGTTTCTTGTCAAGTGTCCGTCATGTAAACGACTGCAGCCTTTGTCGCGGGTTTTCACTAGGGCCTAGTTTTCACACGCATGTTCTGTTTCGACTGCCGTTTCGAAGGTTGCCTTTACAAAACACCCTACAAGCGGGACCCATATCTCTTTCCAGACATCGCGGATTGGCTTTTCAGGCCAACAGTATTGAACAAGCCACCATTTTTTCCCGTCTATGCACCAATAAAAAGCGTAATTATTATTTTCATTAGTGCCGAAGTACAAGTTTAAGGAAGAACACAAACGACGCGGATTCGGGAGGGGGGTTGGTAAAGGTATTTTCACAATGATTTAAAATTTGGGGAGTTTTTGGAGTAAACGGGAAAGGGCGGGGTAACCTTTTTACAATTTATTGCATGGACAGACTTGTGCCCCTCTCCCACCATTATGACAGGTATGTAGACCTACTTAAGAGCAGTATCTTTAAGAAGGTGTCACTCAATACGTGGTTTGTCGGGAACATCCAAGCCTACCTCCAAGAACGGATAGGCCTACTGATTGTTAAGTACAAGAAGATCGGTTAGTACCTACCGACGTGCTTGGAGCTAAGATAAGTGAATGGGAACTGGTAGCGAATCACTGCAGTCTTTCTTAAAACCCTGCGTATAGAGGCCCCGGCGTCACTTGTGGATTAATTAGCTATGACTAACCTTTTCACGCCCATGGTGAGCAACATTCGCTCATGCTGCCTTAGGCTAAATGTGATACACTAAGGTACTTCACGTACTCCACAGCTATTTTGTGTGAACACTGATTCAAAAACGCGTGGAGAAGCGAGAAGTGTGGTTGGCCCGAGAGACTTGTAGAGTTTCAGAAAAAAATGCAAGTTTCAATATTGCGTTTTCTCTTTCACGACTTGCTTGTCTCAGTGCAATTTCGAAACGATAGCTAGGGAAATCAACTGCTTATACTTTAGGACCCAAATTTGACAGAGTTCTACTAAAATGAACGAATTAAAATAAGACGGCTGTTGAAATTACTACGGACAGATAAAAATATATCAATTGTAATAGTTCGCTGAATAGTTGTTTGAAAGCTGCACAAAAAGTGACATAAAACCAATAGGGTGTTTACAGATTTCAAATATGAAATTACAGATATCTAATATGAAATTACAGATATCTAATATGAAATTACAAAAGTTATTGGTAAAATCATCTTAAGCATTTAGGAATTGGTCAAATAAGGCATTGGACTTTCTGACCAAGACCGTCAAAATTTTGATTAAAAAACAGCTAAGCACCCTCCTCTTTTAAAGAGTATGGGGACTAAGTTTCTCGGGATTTATTTTTTAAAACCCAGAATCCATAAACCTCATTGGTCAACTACCACTGCTTTTCTCGTTAAATGTCATTTTCATTTTTTTTGTTTTTAAAAGAAACAAAATGATATAGGCTCAGGGGGCCTTCTGGTGGTGGCACTATGAATTCCAACATGACGGTATAAGCAAAAATGATACTCAAACCAAAAATATTGTCTACGTTTTGTTCGAGTTTCATCTCAGGTGTCATTAAAAACCTCAAGCTCCAGTGGCGCACGTAACATTACACAACTCGAGTGCTTAACTAATATTGTCCTTGCCTTTGGTTGCCTAACCGTATACCACGGGTATTACGTCTGAGGCTTTGGACCGGCTCCGCGCCCTCAAGTTGTGGTCGGGTTCAACCGTCACGTACGCGCAACCGGTACCCTGCGGCAGCGCAGCAATAATTGCTGTAACAGCGGGGCGGCCGGGTGATAATAGGCCTATACGCATCGTCAGATGTCGACTGTTTTCACGGACAGTTTGCATGAAGTTTGGGTAAAACTGGACCAATTGAAAGGGAAATTTGTTCAACATTGTAAATAGCTAATACATTGTAATTAGTTAACATTCGCTGCAAATCCTAACTCGTGGAAGAAAGATTGTCTGGCCCTTTTTTTTCTGCGCTCCATACTTCTATGTTGTTCACGTCACACATGAGTTAGGCCTACTGGCCACAATGAATTTATTCTGAAGTCCCTACATTTCTTACGCATGTTAAAAAACTTTGTCAAACTATGAGTAAAATTGAAATTGCGACAAAGCCCCTTCGGAATGTAGACAGCTCGTGTTTGACGCGTCGGCGAAGTTAAAAGAATAATTTCTCTAAAGACAATGTAAGAAAAAAGCAATACCAACAACTACAGATACTGTAGTTCATTTCACATACACATGTAGGCCTATATATAAGCCTTTTACACCTGAGTCTGTTTTTACCACTGTTTGATTTTGGAGGGAGGATGGTGAAGGTTATACAAGCCTAGGTTCTCCTCTTAGAAATAACTTCTAGTTCAGCTATGGCAGACGGGTAGCTATAGGTTGAGA